TAATTTCACATTTGCAGTGACCAGTATCTCATTTAGTTCCTTAAATATTACTCTGGATGGTTGCGAGTAAAAATGTCAGTGGGTTACTGGTGGGGAGAGGTCCATGTCCCCACCTGTTGCCAGTGGGGGTGGATTTCTTGCCATATCCCTAGGAAAAGAATTTCCTGAGACTTGTGCAAGAGGATGAGATGTTGTAGAAAGCTTTATTTCTGTGGAATTAAACCCCTGAGTTTCTAAGGTCCCATTTCCTTTAGTCCAGTCATTAAAAAAATATACCTGGGGCTTCAGTAGAGCTAAAATCAGAGCCAGTGTCCAGAGTTTCCTTTCCATGTTGAAGCCAAATCCAGTCTAGCATCAGGCTAGTTTAGCTTGTTTCCCACTGTAGACCATTAGTCTGTTGTATGTGGGATGTGCATGGCCATGGGCCATATGGGCGAATGCAAGGAAGCCAAGAGTCAGGAGCAATGAGAGAGAACTCCTTTGTTTTAGGGCATTATCTATTCCCAATTTTTCATGGGCTTTCAATGGCTCCACCCATTTCTAGCCAATCCATGGCTCCCCAGGCTTGACTAACAGACAAGGTACCGTGGCTAGTCACCTCCTACTTCACTGTGCATGCACCCATCTTTCCCTTTGACAGACCCCTTCCACCAGTGATCTGCAGGCGGTGGTTCCCTAGGAGTACAAAGTTGAAGCTTTCTGGTGAAGCTGCCCAAATAACATGCTATAATGTCTGGCCTTCCCTTTGCTCTTTTTCTATTATTAATAACTAGCTAATGCAGTTGTATCAGGTGGGGTTGATTGTCCCCTTGCAAGCAAGCCAGTGGCCGAAAAGTGTGGAGACTGGAGTGCAGCGCCTGTGTTCATTATGCTGAGAGAGGGGCCTTTTGTGCATTGATGATTACAACAGCTCGGGAGAGTGTGGGATTGCTCATGGGGATTATCTTTTGTGCTTTCCTACTTTTTCTTGGAGGTTGACTTTTTTTAGAGACAGCGTATTTGCTGGGTAGGAATAGTAATGAGGCAGGATCCCCTATGATTTTATATTCATGGAATTTAGAAAACTGACTTTTTCTTATGTATTTAGAAAAATACATTGTCAAAGGAGGAAACAATAGATCAGTTGTTAGCAGGTAGATGAGAAAACAACAGTTGTGTTGGTTCTTGTGGCCTACAAATGAGTAGTGCATGTGCAGGATAGAGAAAAGGAGAGCAGGTAAATGCAGCTGAGGGTAATGAGCTTCCTCAGAAGCCCTCCGTGGCCATCAGGAAAAAGATTCTGTACCTTTTAAGTGTCCGTTGAAAGCATGGCTTTCATAAAATCACTCTCAAAACTTTCAATCTTTATAAAATATGAAATAGAAACTGATATAGTCTTGCTGCTCCTGTTTATCTAAAGATAAAGCTTCTGGTTTTTTTCTATTGATAATTTAAATAAAAATTAAAATGTTATGTCTAAGAGTCTGAACAATTTATTATTAGCAATCTAGAACTGATCCCAATTTAAATTTGTAATTGATTTTTAGGTTGTAGAACAAATATACTTTTTTTAAAATTTATTTATTTTTGTTACAGATGTTTCTCCTTTTTTCCCCTACTGATCCTCCCCCACTCCCTCCCCACCCTGTCCCCACCTTTGTTGTCCATGTCCATTGTTCATGCATACATGCATATAAGTTCTCTGGTTTATCTCTCCCCCCGCCACCCCCTCTTCAGGGGATTGTCAGTCTGACTCCACTTCCACGTCTCTGGGACTACCCTGTTCCTCAGACTGTTATGTTCATTATATTCCACAAATAAATGAGATCATGTGATACTTGTCTTTCTCTGCTTGGGTTGTTTTGCTTAGGATAATACTTTCCAGGTCCCTCCATGTTGTCTCAAAGGATGTTACCTCAAAAAATTAAAAATTGAACTGCCATTTGACCTAGTGATCCCACTTCTAGGAATATACCCTTAGAAGCCTGAAACACCAATTAGAAAAAATATATGTACCCCCATGTTTGTAGCAGCACTATTTACAATAGCTAAGATCTGGAAACAGCCCAAATGTCCATCAGTAGACGAATGGATAAAAAAGCAGTGGTACATATACACAGTGGAGTACTATGCAGCTGTAAGAAACAAATATACTTTCTTATAGATGTATGAAACAAAAATATGGGTATATATAACTAAATTGACCCACAAAATTAATCATGGGAGATTTTGGGGGGCCAGGAGTTTGGCCCAAAACTCTATCAGATTTATCAAGATAAATCTCTTGATCCATATTTTAGTTTGTGTTTCTTTCTGACCCTAGAAAAAAACCTGTGTTGAGTTGCTAAAAATACCCTTTCAGCATCTTCATACTTAGTTGTTGAAATCTATGAATAAAAATACAAGCTTTGAAAATTAGTTTTGTTCACCAGTCATATCATCCCCAGGAATTTACTGAAGAAGAACCATAGAATCAAAAAGGTCCTAGTCCTAAAACGTCTGTCTTATTTTTAAATAAGATCATTGATAATGGCATAAATATCTAACAGCTAAAGAATGATGCTTCATAATCATTGTGAAGCTAGATACTTCATAATTATTGTGCTTCCATTAAGTAAAAATTATGAAAAAACTAAAAAAATGTATTTGCAATATGATTATAATCATGCAGAAAATCCGCGTGCCTAAGGACAAAGACTTGAGGGAGATGAGTCAATACAGTGTTAAGGGTAGGACTGGCGGTACACTTCCTTATTGTAAAGCCACGTGACATAAATAAAAACTAGTTTTAAAAAATGGATTTGACTGTGGGTTGGGCATTTTACCAAGGAATAGTTTGAAGTATGAGACGGTGGGGTGACAGTTCTGTTGTGTCTAGGGGGGAAACAGGCCTCTGCCCCGTGTACCAGGCCCACAGGTAGGCAGGACTCCACCTCAGCCTCAGTCTAGCTACAGGTGCATCCCAGCATCCACGGGGGCCCCAGGTGATGTTGAGGACATGCTGAGAAAGTGGGCTGCTTCGGATCCACTTCCCTAAAGACACCTACTTGGTCCCAGACTGTCTAATAACTGAGTCTGCTCAAATGGTTACATGTTTATTTGAGGTCAGCCCAGTTCTTAAGATTTCACAGCAAAACTTACTCTTGAGATGACACATTAACTGATCTGTCCTTAGCTTCATCCAGACTAGTTCCATTATCAAACTTGTTTTCCTCTTCAGAGCCATTGAGAGCAGAGTCACCTGGACTCTCCTCTGTAGATGTCCTTAGAGTTGCAGACATCAAGGTCTCCTATTCGCTGCCCGAGACCTCTTAGTTGCCACCTCACATGCCTTGTAGCTCAAATGGAGCTTGCCGGCCAGATGGTCACACCTTCTCCTCACTGGCTCCTGTGTTAAGCAGCTTCAGTGTCTGTGATGCCCACTTAGGAACTCCGGGCACTGTCTCCAGCCCCTGTCCTCCAGCTGCCATCTGTCTGTCCCTGCACTGTCTCAAACCCATATTTTGTTCCATTTATATAGTCACTGCCCCAGTAGGTCCTTAGTCTTGTGCTCTGGCCTTGTCTCTGCAGGGCAGCATTAACCTCCACACGGACACTTGTTCAGAAACTTGTCTGACTCCCTGATCTCCACGTAGCAGATGCACAGCCCTTGGTTTGAGCACTTGGGGCCTTCAGCCATCAGGTTCCAACTTGCCTTCCACGCTGCACCTACTCTTCTCTCCTGTAAAGCTCTGGAAGCTATGCTTTCTGAATTGGATACACTCAAAAAATTATTCTCTGTTGCTGTACACAAAATAATAAGTGCATGGTGCTACACTATGAGTAGGAATTTGAGCACCAGGTTGTCAATCTTGTTTGACAGAGGGCATCCTGTTGGGGAGATGAGAGGGGGTGCATTTTAAAAAGTGCTTGCTTAAAGCATTATTAATTGTTAAAATAAAACAGGACAAAACAAAAAAAAGAGAGCCCTGTCTATGGCAGTAGATTATTTCCATCTGCACATAGCTAAATACCATTTTGGAGACAGACAGAAAAACTAGGGGTGGGGTGATGGGTGGGGGGTGGAGGCGGTATAGCCTGACATTAACCAAGAAGGAGGCAGACAATTGGTGGTTGTTAGAGTTTCTGTTCCCTTTATATTCTTTATCCTCAAGTTACAACTGCCCCCTCACCCAGTTCCTTAAAAAAATGTGATACTTAGTAAGGTTTGTTTGTATGCCCCTGCCAAGACATTATTCAAGCTGTTCCTCCTGTCACTGACAACAGGCATAGAATTGTATTTTGTGTTTTTGAGAAGCCTGGCTACTAGAACTATCCAATAAAGTCATCACCAAGTATTGCATTTGCACGTTCTGCAAATAAAAATATATAAGTGAATGTCTGCTGATTAATATATCAACCCTACAGGTGTCTTTATTTGTTCTCTCCGAGTATTTCTTTAATAGTTCTATCAAGAAAAGATTTTTTTGGTTTTGAAAAATAGAATGGTGTTTTAATAATGTTATAAGATATCCAGCATGTCCCACTTCATTACAACTAACTTTCTATGTGCCCTGTTCCAGAGAAGAGTAAAAGAATGTTTTTCAACATGTTCAGAGAATAAGTAGAATTTAAACCTTTTAGTATGTGTATAAAAGGCAGTGTTTGCATCATAAAGACATTTTTCTAAATCCATTACAGTGTTCTAGATGTCATTGTTTGGGAAGTCGGATGTTTTAAATGTTTGAAAAACAAAATGGAGTATTTGCAATTTAGGAATAATTTATTTAAAATAATGCCATTCCTCTGCATATTTGAACAATCTGTCCAAAACACAGCTCATTCATGTGGGACTTTGCCTGTGCAACTCTGAGTGGGAATCAGTAGTTTCTTTGTTCGTTGCTATGGAAACAAGTCAGCCTATCCTGAATGGCTGTTAGATCACGCAGAGTGATGCTCTTATCTCAGTGCAACTTCACCACAGAGCAAACTGGCGCTGACATCTCCTGGCCTTCCAGCTCTCCTTCTGGGGGCCCAGCACCATGCAGGACCCACCCCGGAGGCTCTCGGCCATGCCCTTCCTCAGCTCCTTCTTACAGGGCCGCCGGCACTCCGCCTCAGACACCGTGCTGAGGCTGCCACAGGGACAGCACAGCTCCGCCACCAAGATGCTCTCCTCATCCTCTCTCCAGGTGATGCTAGCTGTGTCCTCTCTCAGCTGCGCCAAGAGAAACCCAACTTGCCCCGAGAGAAAAAGTAAAACTCCTTTTCTTCTTAAAGATTGCCACACCTTTGAATTAAATTTAAGGAATGCGAAGAGGCTGTGTTGTGTTTCTGCCTTTTTAAATTTTGACCATTCCGCATTATACTTTTTACTGGCTGTTATGCTAAGAGTGTCAGTAGATATGTAATAGGAGATAAAATGATTGACTGTTTTGTGTTGTTTCACTAAAATGAATGTCTGAATAAACCTCACTCCCTTAGAAAAGATCTGTTTTTACTGTTTCTTCCTCTTTGCCACCAGTATGACATGTAGAGAGAGATTGTGTTTGAGTTTCCTACATTAAGATAGAGTGCACTTAGATGCAGTGGAAATTCTTTTAATCTTGACACAATGAAGGGTGGTTAGCACCAGCTCATCTGTAATCCTGAGATAAAATGGAAGCTGTTTCCCAGGTTACTGTTCTGTTTGGAGGGTGGAATTTTGAATATCTTCCTTGCATGTTCTAGGCAATTCAGGACGTCCAACACCAAAGTATACAAAAGTCGGAGAGCGTTTACGGCATGTCATTCCTGGACACGTGGCCTGCTCCATGGCATGCGGGGGCAGAGCGTGCAAGTACGAAAACCCAGGCCGCTGGAGTGAGCAGGAGCAGGCCATTCGGGGGATCTACTCGTCCTGGTGAGCGAATCTGTCGGGCTGTGGGAGTGCTCCCCTGCGGCTGAGTAGGAAAAGGGAATGACTCTGTATCTGGTGCCGGGTGGCAGGAGGCTGTGGAAGAGGGTGGACAGGGTTTTGGAGTCAGAACCTTGCCTCCCATCCCTGGCCTTGCTGACGGACAAGCTGTGGTCTGCTCACACAGGCACTCTGACCCTGTTTTCTCATCTGTGAAATGCAAATAATAAAACCCACTCCATAGGGTCTTTGTTTAAGTTAAATAATATATGTAACTCTCTTACAGAAATGATGACTATATAGCTTTTAAGTTTCAGAACTTGCTAGAAATAATAAAACTGTTGAGCTATCAACTTGAAAAATTATGAGGTACATAACGTAGTCTTCAGTCTTCAGTTTCATACAGGGAAGCTTTAGCCTTGTTTTAATTTTGGTCCTATACTCTGGGTGAAAGGACCCATTTTCACACAGATAGACATCCAGTCTGCCTCAGTAGGAGTGGTACAAGTTGTTGGTTCAGTGGACAATATAAGATGCTTGCATTTTTTATGGTATATAAGGGCAACTGAATCATAGTGCTTTTTATTATGAATAGTAAAATGTTAAGTATATCTTTTCAGTGTATTGATATCTGAAATGTTTTGATAATCAAACCAAATCCCATTTGAAACTCATTTAGAGGAAATCACTGTTTAAAGAATTTTAGTGGTGAATCAGTTTATACAGCAAGAGTCCATTTACAGATTAGACATTTGTTAACTTTCATATTAGATTTTCTGGGTACATGGATAGTGATATAGTTGGGGGTCCACTGTCACTGTTCTTCACAGATAATTTTCTAGTCTGTCACTGTCTTTCTTAAAGAGTGTTGTGAAGAAGCAAACTCTGTTCCTGAGGTGTCTGACAAGTAAATTTCTAATAATGCAGCATAAGGCCACATTAATATTTTTTATTAATGCTGACTGAACAATCTGAGTCTTTTTTGCTTCTGCTGATTTCATGTTACATCTCTCATCTCGTACTAAGTACTATTAAATCTTGGGGCTTCCAAAGCTTTGGGGGTCCCTGTTGAATTTCAGGCATTGCCTTGGGGGGAAAGTTGGTATTTTTTTGGATCCTGCCTTGTCCGTTTAATGCTACTACTCTCAGGTTCCTGTGACCCACAACTTGGGTTAGACTGTCTGATGTACCTTTTACCAGAACACTGCTTGAGAATTCAACCAGAATGGAGTGAAACCAGAGCCCTAATGAGGGGCAGCCATCTGTGGGTCTCTGTCCATTTGTACAGTTAGTAAACATGCATTTGGCTACAGGCCAGGCACTGTGCTAGACACTTTCAGATTATTACCTCATCTTCATTAAACTCTCATGAAGTAGGCACTGGTAATGTCATTTTATTGATGAAGGAATTGAGGTCCAGAGAAACTAAGTAATGTGCTACTCAGCGAGAAAGTAGAAGAGCCAGCATGTAAAATCAGGCCCAACTGATTCCAAAGCTCTTATTTTTTGTTAAATTGCAATAACTCAACATTTATTTATGACCACATGTGGGGATTTTTGCTGAAGCCTTCACATCCACATTGTGGGCGGGTGTTTTTGTTTTGTTTGTTTTTTAATTTTTTTTCTTTATTGATTTTAGGGAGAAAGGAAGGGAGAGGGAGAGAAAAACAGAAACATCAATGAGAGGCAACATCGATTGGCCGCCTCTTGAATGACCCCAACCAGGGATTGAGCCCACATCCTGGGCATGTGCCCTGACCAAGAATCAAACCGGCAACCTCCCAGTGCATGGGTGGAAGCCCAACCACTGAGCCACTCCGCTGGGTGTGGGCAGGTGTTTTTATTCCCATTTAACACATAGGTAGCTGTACTGCAGACAGCTCAAGAACTAGAAGTGCCTCCTCGCCGCCTCATTAGTAACCTTTGGGTAACCTAGCCTGTCGCCTTTGCTGCCAGTTGAGGTTTCTCCATCATGTCCACTAGAATCTCATGAGTGTCCTTGAAAATGCTTTGTTGCAGTCCATCAATACTTATGCCCTGAAATTTTTCGAGAGATTTAAGCAGCTAGGTAGGGTTTCTTAGAGCCCTAATCATAATGCAAAATGGAAGCCAGATTTGGATAAGGAGATTCTTATCTTACAGAGTTATTGAAAGCATACAAAAAGTAGTGGCTTGATAGCTGGCTCTCTCGTCCTTATCTCACCAGTCCCTCTGCCCATCTGCAGGGTCACTGATAGCATCCTGGCAATGGCTCGCCCATCCACTGAGCTCCTGGAGAAGTACCGCATCATCGAGCAGTTTCTGAGGTAAACGCCACATTGTTCATATGTTTCAGTAAGCCCATTCGTGTTTCTCTTCCATTGCTTTTGACTTCAATGGACAGCGTTTTCATTTTAATGATAGGCATAAAGAACTTATTTCAAATAAGGAATTTGAGGACAATTAGTAACGTTTATTAATGCCAAAAGTGGTTACTTTTTTAAAACATGCTAACTCCCAATATGACTAAATTTTTTCTCTTTTCTTTAAGCCATGGCTTAAAAACAATCATTAACCTGCAGCGGCCTGGCGAGCATGCCAGCTGTGGGAACCCTCTGGAACAAGAAAGTGGTTTCACGTACCTTCCAGAAGCTTTCATGGAGGCCGGCAGTAAGTCTTTCCACCCTCCTCTCCATAAGTTACCAAGACAGCACTCAGACTTTTGTCTGCTCAGCTCTTAGGATTAAAAAATGATGGAAATAAACACTTACTGCATAGTAGTTGTGCTCCTAAAACATGCAGATGAGCTAACTTTGACTTTAAAGAATGCTGCCTCCTTCTGTAGTATTGCTATTGAAAGTGCAGGCTTTCTTTTTCTGTGAGCGGGCTCTTGGGAGGAGACCCTGTAGAAATAATGGTAACATTTGATTAGTGCTTGCATTAACATTAACAGTATGTCAGACCTGGCATCTCCTTTATCCTTAAAGCAGTCAAGTAACGTAGTTGTTTCTGCTTCACACGGGAGGCCACACAGGCTTAGCAAGTTCTGATTTGCCCGTGGTCACACAGCCTAACCGTGTTAGTGGGATTGGAACCCAGGACTCACTGATGCTTTTGCTGCCATACAGCAGTTCTGTACCTGGGTAGGATGCTGGGCTCCTTATGTGAATTCCAGAAGCTCCTTAGTCATGGGAGCTTTGGGGTGGAATCTCACCAGTCCGGAAAGGATCAGCCTGTGCAATTTTGGAACATTTTTTAAGAAGCTTGTATCCAGCTCTCTTTTCCTACTGGGTGGAAAATCTGTTCATCTTCTGCCATTTATCAGTCATTTAGACACATTTCTATGCTTAAAACAGGATTGTATGCTTTCTCTCCATAGCTGAGGCGTTTGGGCGTAGATCTATTGACTTTATTAATTTGCAGTCTTTCTGACATAATTCTTTCTAAGTTTCAGCAGGAAATGCCTTAAGTAATGCAGAATGTGCTTTGTAAGAAATGTTAACAATAAACTTACTGGAAATGTAAAAAGCCTATTATTCTAGGCCTACACACCCAGTGTGATTTGCGTGCCTTACAGCTTTCTGCTCTTCATGAATCCACTCACTTTCTTCACATATCCTTGCCAGTATTTTTCCTGTATGTTGACATTTTTTCCTGTTCTTTTTTTCATTGCTCAGTTTATTTCTACAATTTCGGATGGAAGGATTATGGTGTAGCGTCGCTTACCACCATCTTAGATATGGTGAAGGTGATGACATTTGCCTTACAAGAAGGAAAAGTAGCTGTCCATTGTCACGCCGGGCTTGGTAGAACAGGTAAATTCTATGAGGCAGTTTTATTGCCTTGTAGTATATTTAAACATATAAGGAATAATATATTTTAATACCCAATGTCTTTTAAAATAATAATGAGAAGAGCAAGCATTGTTTTACCAACTGTTCTAAGCATTTTACACTTGCTGTTTATACTGTTAAGGCTGTTTTCCTTCATATTAATGGCTTATAGCAATATAGAATTACATCATAGTATGGGGAAAATAAACATATTAGTGTAGAGACAAGTCTGTAAGAAGAATTGTAAGGAAAAAAAAAGACTGTGAATGTGAATAATTCCCAAATTTAAAAATGCCCAGGTTAGTAGAGTGCCAGGCAGGAATGTGCCAACAATTGATGGCAAAGGCAGGGGTGGGAAGTTCCAAGTGCAGTATATGGATCCATTGAATGGAATTGCTCAGAAACTGTTAACTGGAAAATAGAAGCAGGATTTTATTTCTCCCATGAGGGAATTGGACATAAAGAGGATAAACATGCTAGATCATGCTCGTTTACTCCCCAGTTACTCAGTCATTCCCCCACTTCCCCACTTCACACTCAGTCATCAAGATCCCTCACTCCACACCGTCGTTCCCTTCACTCCACACCGACTGTCGTTCCCTTCTCTCCACACCAACTGTCGTTCCCTTCTCTCCACACCAACTGTTGTTTTCTTCACTTCACACCGACTGTCATTCCCTTCTCTCCACACCAACTGTGGTTCCCTTCACTTCACATTTATTCATTACTTCACCCAACTCCACACTGACTGTCGTTCCCTTCACTCCACACCAACTGTCGTTCCCTTCTCTCCACACCGGCTGTTGTTCCCTTCACTTCACATTTATTCAGTGTTCCCCCAACTCCACACCAACTGTGGTTCCCTTCACTCCACACTGACTGTCATTCCCTTCACTTCACATTTATTCAGTGTTTCCCCAACTCCACACCGACTGTCGTTCCCTTCTCTCCACACCGACTGTCGTTCCCTTCACTTCACATTTATTCAGTGTTCCCCCAACTCCACACCGACTGTCGTTCCCTTCTCTCCACACCGACTGTCGTTCCCTTCACTTCACATTTATTCATTGCTTCACCCAACTCCACACCGACTGTCGTTCCCTTCACTCCACACCAACTGTGGTTCCCTTCACTCCACACTGACTGTCATTCCCTTCACTTCACATTTATTCAGTGTTTCCCCAACTCCACACCGACTGTCATTCCCTTCTCTCCACACCGACTGTCGTTCCCTTCACTTCACATTTATTCAGTGTTCCCCCCAACTCCACACTGACTGCCATTCCCTTTACTCCACAACAACTGTTGTTCCCTTCTCTTCTCCACACCGACTGTTGTTCACTTCACACTTATTCAGTGCTTCCCCCAACTCCACACTAACTTTGTCATCCCCCTTACTTTATACTTAGTCATTATTTCTTACTCATTTGCTCCACCAGCCTCCCCCTTAGTTCACAGTTACTCAGTCATTTTCTCTTACTACACTTACCCAGCTAACCCCCTCACTCCACACTTACTGAGTCACCCCCTCACTTCACACTTAGACGTCCCCTCTAAGTCCACACTTAGTCATTCCTCATTTACTTTGACTTAGTCATCTCCCCTCACCGGATCCTTACTCAGTCATTCTTACTTGCTGTACATTCAGTCAGTCATTCTTCCTCTCTCCTCGCCTAGTCATTCTCCCTCACTTCACACTTACTCAGTCATCCCCTCAGTCCACACTTAGTTGTCCCTCAATCACTCCTCGGTTACTCTCATCACTTTCCCTTACTCATCTTACTCCGTCATCCCCCTCAGTCCACACTTAGCCTCACTGGACGGTTTCTGTGCCTGCCCCTGGGTACAGGGGGCACTGAGTGTTCTCAGCCAGGGTGAGGGGTACCATGTAGACAAGTAAATATATAGACACCTTTGCAAAAAGTTACAAAGTCAAATTATCCTTAAAACATTTCTAACACATAACAAATTTAAATCATCAAAGAGTGATAAATAAAAAACTATAAGCTTTTTCTCATTCAGTGTTTTCTTCTTCACTACTTAGGTGTTTTAATAGCTTGTTACTTAGTTTTTGCGACAAGAATGACTGCTGATCAAGCTATTATATTTGTTCGGGCAAAGCGTCCCAATTCCATTCAGACTCGAGGACAGCTACTCTGTGTGAGGGAATTTACTCAGTTTCTGATTCCTCTTCGCAACATATTCTCTTGCTGTGATCCCAAAGCACATGCCGTCACCTTAACACAGTATCTGATCCGCCAGCGGCATCTGCTTCATGGTTATGAGGCTAGACTCCTGAAACACGTGCCAAAAATTGTTCACCTCGTGTGCAAACTGCTGCTGGACTTAGCTGAGAACAGGCTCGTGGCGGCAGAAGAAGTGGTAGAAGCACCTGACCTCTCTGCTGAAATTGAGAAGACCGTTTCCGAGGTGGTCACGATGCAGCTGGATAGAGAGTTGCTGAGGCCCGATAGCGAGGTGTCGGACTCCTTCACCTCTACCACAGTGCCAGTGGATTTTGCGAATCAAGAGGTGATTCTTTCCAGCGAGCAAGAGTTTGACCCTCTTTGGAAGAGGCGGAATGTAGAGTGTCTTCAGCCTCTGACTAACCTGAAAAGGCAGCTCAGCTACAGCGAGTCAGATTTGCAGAGGGCTGAGTCTCTTGCAGAGCAGCTGGGGACTCCGTGGACGGTGCCTGCTCAGGTCTCATTCTGCCACAATCCCACACAGCAGACTCCTGTAAGCCACTGCAATGCCTCACAGACTCCACAGCTAGACTTAAATAAGGAAATGCTGGTCTGTAGTACATTTTCTTTCTGGAATCCAGCTAAATTTGGAGGCTTAGAACAACTCAAAGATGATGGGTCACCAATTTTCCAAAAGATTATTCCAAAGGAAGTACAGCGGAGTAGGACCTTCTCTTCAGGTGTTTTAAGTTCATATAACCCTGGGGAACCAGTTACAACCAATGTTGCAGATATTCCCAAGGAACTACCCCATTTTCCCCATCAAGGGACCCTGTGTCAGTGTGAAGTCCACGGTGGCTGCAGCCCAGCAGACTGTGGCTCCAGCCCCAAAGCACCGTCTTTGATTGGACCTAAAACCCAGAGCAGCAAAGATGTACCTGAAGTCACTCCACACACTGCTTTGCAGTCTGAATTGAGTGTTGAAGAAAGGAGAATACTGGCAGCCAAAGCCCTGGCAAACTTAAGTGAGTTTGTAGAAAAGGAGGACGTGAAGAGGAAGGTGGAAATGTGGAAGGTATTTGCATGTCATTTAATTATATATGCTTGGGAAGTATTTATGTCAGAGTGAAACATCATGAGTTTTCCCAAATTTACTTGTATGAATGAATTTGAAGACGTGTTGGTATAATGCTTTGGAACTTCAGGTTTCTCTGCTGTAACTGGAGCCCAGTGTCATAGAGATGACAATATGTTTTGTGCAGGCTTCAGTCTCCTGCGAAAGAAAGCACTTAGCACTTAGCACTTGGCAGTGTGCCCAAGTGAGCAAGGCATGGGTATGACTGATATTGGTAGCTTCCTTCTTTCTTGCTGGGTTTGTAGGACAGACTGACAGACAGATGCACAGGCCATAGTAGACAGCTATAAACTGACCTGAAGGGTCTCTAGGCCAACCAAAGGCCTAGCAGGGAGCCACATTTTGAGAATGACTGACACAAAAATGAAATCAGAGCAAATTCTTTTCCAGAGCTCTTCCACAGGAGTGTTGAAGGAGATCAGGAGGAAGCATGACAGACGCTGTCTACTAAGTGTTGCCTCTGCAGGTTCCCAGTCCTGCCCCAGTGAGGCAGCTATTAGATCTGGAAAGCAAATGGCAGTGGCTCCAGAGTACCTGTGTGCTGCTGGTTTCTGAGATTAGGTGTTTGGGGTCCAGTTTTTGCCTTTTACTTGAAATTTAGATTTTTAACTCCTTTTTATTCATTAGAAAGGTAGTTTTAAATCAGCCACACTCTCTGCCCTGAATGAGCAGCTGATCTAGAGAAAAGGCAGGCCTTATAAATTTAGTTACCAGAAACCAGTTAACTGCCCAGATGTGGGGCTGACCGAGGGAGGCTTGACTTAGTGAAATCTTGACTTGTTAGCCCATAATTTACCACAAGTTATTTGTGTAGCTGCTCTTCTGCTTCCTGCCATTAATTAAGCAAAGTGTGTGTATTTTCCAGGAGGGCTGAACCTTCCAGATGCAGAGGCAGGAAAATAGGTGTGGAGCCTCACACCAGCTTAAAACCGCGGGACAGGACAAGAGCACTTCACACACTTTCTCCATCAGAATTGTGTTTTGCTTAGCAAATAGTTAAATATATTCTTTTTTTTCCACATGAAGCATGTTCTTTATTCCCTACTTATACCTGAACAAGCCTTCCACCCAGTGGGCAGGTTTTGCCACTGCATTGCCATGTGTCAAAGTAGCTAGCAGCAGGCCTTTTGATTTTAGGTCTAACAGCTTGTGGCCCTCGTGGGTCAGCCCTGCTTGTGCCCACACTGCTTAGTGCAGTGCACGGGCCAGATTGCTTCAACATGTAACACATATGAAGGCATTTTCTAGAGGTGAACATAACCCATTTTGTTTGGGTATGTTTGCCTTTTTTTTCTTTTCTACATTATGTTACAAGCCTTTCGGTGATAAAAACAACTTAGTTGAATTCTGGAAAGAATAAAATGAGGGGGCAGAAGGTAATCACTTTCTCCCACAACCACATCAAAATTACAACTAAATTACAGAAGAACCATCATTCAAAACTGCCTGAACCTAACTGAACAGAAGTCCTATAACTAAGGATATAAAGAAGAAGCCATGTCGAGACTGGTAGTAGGGATGGAACTCAGAACAGGCTGGTCCTACACCCATGGTGTGGCGGTTATAAATAAGGAGGGATATCTCCACTGTGGAGGTCCCCACTGAGGAGTGAGGGAGTCCCAGCTCCATAGCAGATTCCATCAGCCCAGGATTTCAGTCCAGGAGGAGAAGTTCCCATAACTTCTGGCTGTTAAAGCCAGCCAGGATGATGGCTAAGTGAGACAAAGAGTTCCTGGAGTCCCAGGTATTCCACTTAAAGGGCCCATGTACACACTTACTCAGACTCACAGCAGCTTGAAATGCACCAGGAACATATGGGAAGGAACTGAGTTGTCCAGTGAGGGGTGGAGGAGCAGCTTTCTCCCAGACAGAAGCTCTGGCAGAGACCATATTTCCTTTGTTGAACCGTCCCGACAGAGCCTACAGGTGGACACCATATCTGAATCTCTATCAACCTGGCCAGCACAGTTCACCCCTCCCTGGTGATTCTCTGAGACCCTGTTCCATCCAAATTTCAGGCCCACCTAAGCTGTTTACAGTGGCTTTTCCATACTAATGGCCTGTCTTGGCTCGTGCTACAGACTTTCCTGAAATCTCAAACAAACAGCATCTGGCCTTAGCATGCCCCATACCTCTTGCTAACTGCCTCCCAGCTTGGCACTATCAGCAGCTGGCCTTGGTAGGCAGCTTGGCCTGTCCTGAGCACCTCCAAGCCTAGTATATGTAGCAGGCATCAACAGATTGCTTTGTAGCTCATGCCTGGGGACCTTGGGCAGGGCACAGGTAGCAGCTGACCTTGTCCCACAGCTTCTGGAGGCCCCAGAGCCAGTGCACCTGGTAGACAGCTTCAGACCATGCCAAAGCACTACCTAGTCACTTCCATAAGTGACACATTCCAGGTGCAGACTCAGTAAGCACCAGAGACTCACTGAAGCAAGTCCTCTATGGGGTCAGTCCCTGCACAGCAGATCCTCCACAGTGGTCACTGCCAGTCTTCGTAGCCAAATGGCCAATAAGTAAATTTTCCCCATTGATGTACCAACAGCAGTCAAGGCTCAACTACAACAGGAAGGTGCATACAGTCCACACAGGGGGCACTGGAGAGGCTGCACGATTGGGTTCCTTAGGACACCTACTACATAAGGCCACTGTACCAAGACAGGAGACATAGCAGCTCTACCTAATGCATGGGAACAAACACGGGGAGGCAGCTAAAATGAGACTAAGAAACATGTCCCAAGTGAAAGAACAGAATAAAACTTAAGAAAAAGAACTAAACAAAATGGAGACAAGCAGTCTACCAGATACAGCATTCAAAACACTGGTTATAAGGATACTCAGTGAGAATTTCAACAAAGAGATAAACATAAAAATGGAAATACAAATCATATGAAAGAAACAGTCAAAAATGAAGAATACATTACATGGTATCAACAGTAGAATACATGAAGCAGCGGAGAATCAAATCAGTGATTTGGAAGATAAGGAAACTGAAAACACCAAATCAGAATAGCAAAAAGAAGAAAGAATCCAAAAAAGTAAATACAGTATAAGGAGCCTCTGAGATAACTTCAAACATACCAACATTTGCATCTTGGAGGTTTTGGAAGGAGAAGAGAGAGCAAGAGATCAAGAACCTGTTTGAAAAAAATAATGATGGAAAACTTCCCTAACCTGGTGGAGGAAATAGATATACAGGAAGCACAGAGAGTCCCAACCAAGATGAACCTAAATAGGCCCACACCAAGACTCATTGTAATTAAAATGCTAAAGGTTAGGCCCACCACATGCATGCCACTGTGCCCAGCGTGAGGGTGGTGGCTCTGATCAGTGGTGTGAAGGACAGCTGTTAAAGTATGATGCAGTGCACCCTGGTCGGTTTGGCTCAGCAGTTGGAACATCGGCCTGTGGACCAGAGAGTCCCGGGTTCAGTTCCCGCTAAGGGCATGGACCTTGGTTGCAGTTTGTCCCTGGCCTCGGTTGGGGTCGTGTGGGTGGCAACCAGTCGATGTGTCTCTCTCACATTGATGTTTCTCTCTCTCCCTTCCTCCCTTCCTCCCTCCTGCTCTATCTGAAGATAAATGCAAAAATGTCCTTGGATGAGAGTAAAAAAAAAAAGTATGATGCAGTGCATTGCTGCTGGGTATCAGATCATTGCTTTAGCAAATCAAAGACCAGCTGAAAACCAAGTGAAGTCAGATGAACTAGATAGCTACACATATCAGACAGTGAGTCATCGTACCATTGATTTGTATGCAGAAACAGTGGCTCTTCCCCTCTTGCTGTACCGTAAGAAGAAGGAATGTGGATAAAGAACAAGTGTGCCCCAAATAGGAAGGTTATGATATTGAAGATCTCTATAAGCTTTGAAAGTTGTTAAGGAAAAAGAAGTGGAAGGAATATAAGTAGGTTCTATACTTTTTTATTATCAGCATTTTCGAGTAGAAAATGTGTGTAAAAGGCTTTATTTTCAACCTTTAGCTTGCCTTTGGCAGAGAAACCAAGATTTACTCTGAGAGATAATAGGATCTGACCTTCATGCAATCATCATCAAAGTAGCAGCTTTGGGTTTAGATCCAGATAAGTGTCTTGGGAAAACCCTGAATCAAATGGAGTCTTATCTCTTAGAGCTTTCTAAGAAGTATGGAGTCCATATTTGTGGAGAACGTGGATACTATGAAAAGTTCATGTTGGATTGCCCTCTATTTAAGAAGAAAATAATTGTAGATTCATTAGCAGTCATGCATTCAGCTGATGCATTTGCACCTGTGACTTGCCTATGCTTTTTATTTTTTAATCCTCACCCGAAGATATTTTTTTAAATATCTTCAGATAGAATGGGAGGGGCAGAGAGAGAGAGAGAGAGAGAGAGAAACATCGATGTGAGAGAGAGAGAGTCATCGAATGGCTGTCTCCCACACGACCCCGACCAGGGCTGGGGATGAACTGCAACCGAGGTTTGTGCCCTTGGCCAGAATCAAACCCGGGACTTTTTGGTCCATGAGCTAACACTCTAACCGCTGAGCCAAACCGACTAGGGCTTACCTATGCTTTTTAGAATTGTACTTGGAGGACAAGGTGTCCTCAGTGCCTGACAGCTACAGAAGATCTAATAATATACATAATTCTTAAGAAGCGTTTTTGATCATTGTTTACTAAGCTCCCATTTTTAGGTGAATAAATTACATAGCCTTTTCTTAATTATGTCCAGCTTTTTCTCATTACATTTTTTGATTCTTAAAAATATATATCATCAGCCTGGCCGGCCTGGCTCAGTTGGCTGAGCATCGTCCCATGCACCAGGAGGTTGCCAGTTCGATTCTTGGTCAGGGCACATGCCCAGGTAGCAGGCTTGATCCCCAGTAGGGGGCATGCAGGAGGCAACCAATAGATGTTTCTCTCTATTCCATGTTTCTCTCTTTCTCTCCATCTCCCTTACTCTCTCTGAAATTTTGTACATTGGTCAAAAAAGTTAATAGACCATTTATTAATTGGGGAAATGTGAATGCTTTGTTCATTATGTTGTCAAGTTACTCTGGATTCAATCTGACTTTTGTTAACACATCCTATTTATGTCCTCTACATGCCATGTGCCTTATTTTTTTTACTTTTTGCTTATACAACCCTCGTTTATGTGACATTTCTTTTCTTTCGTCACACGGGATTATTTTTTTCTTTGTCTCTTTCCTACTCTTATCTCTGCCAGTAATATCTTGGTGCAGAGGCATTTGAAAAAATGAGGATGAAAAGGCAGTCACTTTATTTAGCCAATCAAGTTTATTCTGTTGGGTGTTGCCAAAGTGCTGTATCATTTTTGTTTTCAGTACATTCATTGTTTCAACATTATTGGACAATCAGAAAGACTATTATTAATTCTTACTGTTTATTTTATAACTGATATTTAAAAAGCAATTTTTCAGTATTGTGCTGACTTTAGACAACTTCTTAAAAAATAGACTTTATTTTTTTAGGATAGTTTCGGATTCACAGGAAAATTGAGAACAACATACAGAGTTCCCATATACCACCTGCCCCTAACATAAATATAGTTTGCCCATAATCAACATCCCCTAGCAGTGTGGTACATTTGTTTCAATTGATGAATCATGGTATAAACTGTGAACTTTGGGTGATTATGATGGTACATTGACATATCATGGTCATTTAAGTTCATAGTTTACATTATGATTCACTTTTGGTGTTTATTGTGCATTGGACAGGTGCATGATGACATAATATCCATCATTATGTATTATACAGAATATTTTCACTGCCCTAAAAACCTTCCATGGTCCATCTATTTATTATTTAACCCCTGCCACAGTCCCCAACTTCTGGCAACCATTGATCTTTTTACTGTCTCCATAAGTTTGCCTCTTCCAGAATTTCATATAGTTAGGCTAATATAGTATGTTGCATTTTAGATTGGCTTCTTTCACTTAGTAATGTGCATTTAGGTTCCTCCATGTCTTTTCATGAGATTTTAAGTGCTAAATAATATTCCATTGTCTGGATATACCAAAGTTTATTTTATCCATTCACCTACTGAAGGACATCTTGGTTGCTTCCAATTATGAATTTGCAGTTATGAATAAAGCTACTATAAAACAAACAAATAAAATGCTAAACGTTAAAGACAAAGACTTAAAAGTAGCAAGAGAAAAGCACTTAATTACCTACAAGGGAGTTCCCATAGGACTGTCAGCTGATTTCTCAGCAGAAATTTTGGAAGCCAAAAGGGATTGACGCAAAATATTCAAAGCGATGAAAAGCAAGGACCTACAACCAAGATTCTCTACTCAGCAAGGTTATCATTTAGAATCGAAGGACAGATTAAACAGCTTCCCACAAGAAAAAGCTAAAGGATTTCATCACCACCAAACCAGTATTACAAGAAATGTTAAGGGATGTTCTTTAAGAAGAAGAAAAATAAGATAAAAAATATGAATAATAAAATGGCAGTAAATACATATCTGTCAATTACTTTAATTGTAAATGGTTTAAATGCTTCAATCAAAAAACATCGGGTAGTTGAATGGATAATAAAGCAAGACCCCATACATATGCTGTTCACAGAAGACTCACTTCAGATCAAAAGACAGACACAGACTGAAAGTAAAGGGATGGAAAAAAATAGTTCATGAAAATGGAAATGAAAAAAATAATAAAGGCTGGGGTAGCAATACATATACCAGACAAACTTTAAAACAAAGGCTATAGCAAGAAAGAAGGACCCAGCAATTCCACTTCTGGGTATTTATCCAAAGAAACACAAAGCACTCAATCAAAAAGACATACACATCCATGTGTTCATTGCAGCATTATTTACAATAGCCAAGATATGGAAGCAACCTACGTGCCCCATCAATAGATGAATTAAGGAAGAAGTGGTGCATATATACAATAGAATATGACTCAGCCCTAAAAAAAAAAAAAAAAGAATGAAAACTTACCATCTGCAATGACATGAGTGGACCTAGAGGGTGTTGTGCTGAGTGAAATAAAGCAGAAAAAGACAAATGTCAGATGATTTCACTTATATGTGGAATCAAAAAACAAACAAGCATAACAGAAACAGGCTCATAGATGCAGGGGACAGTTTGATGGTTGTCAGAGGGGAGGGAATTTGGGGGACTGGGTGAAAAAAGGTGAAAGGATTAAGAAGTAAAAATTGTAGTTACAGAGTAGTCACAGGGATGTAAAATACAGCATAGGGAATATAGTCAATATTATAATAACTGTATGGTGTCAGATGGGTACTAGATTTATCAGGGTGATCATTTTGTAAGTTATATAAATGTCTAATCACTGTGGTGTACACCTGAAACTAATATAATATTGTGCATCACTGTAATTGCGAAATAAAAAAGCATGTAAAAGATAAAGTAAAATGAATATGATTTAAGTAGCATAATGCCACCTGTGCCTATACTGGACCATTTCACGTCTTTTGTCTCATGATTTTCATGGTAGTCCTTTGAGACAGATGATATTACTTACAGGCTCTTTGTGTCACAGGGAAACTAAGGGTCCCAGGAGTTACCTGGCATGCTTGCGGTCAGGTGGTCCGAATGCCAGGATACAGCTTATGTGTTTAATACTTTCTGTCATTCTTATATCTTTCCTAACCCCACTGAAGATTTCAGAAAGCATAATGATGTAACAGTCGTTTATGTTTATGTTTCTATCTCTCTCTCCCTATCCCTTCCTCTCTCTAAAATCAATAAAGAAAATTTATTAAAAAACAAAAATAAAAAACTTGACCTCACAGAGAGCTGGGGAAAGTAAGATAAGAATTTTAATTTCTGACAGGACATTTAATTTCAGATTTATGTTTTAGTAAATGAAATATATGTTTACAATAGTAATAAGCATAGTAATTGCTACCTTTCATTCATTCACCCATTCTGTATTTGTAGAACACTTTCCATATAACAGGAACGTACCTTCTCCCTTTTTCCTTCTCTCTCCCCTCTTTTTTTCTTTCTTTCTTTTTAGAAAGAGCTGAATTCCCGAGATGGAGCTTGGGAAAGAATATGTGGTGAGAGGGATCCTTTCATCCTGTGCAGTTTGATGTGGTCTTGGGTGGAGCAGCTGAAGGAGCCTGTGATAACCCAAGAGGACGTGAGCATGCTGGTTGGCAGGCGTGCAGATGCAGCAGAGGCCCTGTTTCTGTTAGAGAAGGTAAAGGAGCTGTGGACCACTGGATGAAGTCAACTGTATAAGTTCACACATTTAAAAAATGTATTATAAAAAGAGAATGCATGTGGAATCCCATATCTGAGTCTAATTTAAGTTTTTCCAAGATAAAAGAAGAAATACTAACTATAGAAGATACAAAAATAAAAAGGGAAGTGCACATAATCCAAGGAGAGCCACTTAGAACATTTTCTAGTCTTTCAGACTTACCGCTTCATGTTAACTTGGTAAAAATCATTTCACATACAACTTCATGCTTCATTTTTGCTCACAATTATAACATAGGTATATTCCCATGTTTAGTGTAAGTTTTTCATAAATATTGATGGACAGATAATACTCTAATTTGGTGGGGATATATTATAATTAACCATTTTCACTTTCAAGTATTTGTTTCTACTTATTTACCATGAGTGTATAATGTGAAGAGCTGTGAGGTAGCTTAGAATATGCACTCATTTGTATTTTCTTTGAAAGGGGAGTGTGTCGCATACATATGTATATAATCCACGGATAAAATGTAGAAGACTAGAAGGAAAAACAAGAAACTAACAATAATGTTGGTTGCCTTAGGAAATGTACTAAGGAGACAAAGGATCTAGGGAAGGAGGGAGGGAGACTGACTTGTCATTGTAGATCCTTTTATACAATTAAATATTTTTAACTATATAGAGGTTAAATAATTTTCACTTAAAAATGGGCTTTGTTTTTGTTTTAGGAAACAGTGTTATCTCATAATCCACTTGTGTTACCTGCTGTGCTGCCGTGTCTCCTGTTCCTCGTCTTATACTACCACCAGAGTGCACACACACGCAGTGTTGTGACACGCGGCTTTAAGATGAGATTGTGCCTGTCCTGGGAGTCCTTTTCTTAGGCTGTTTTCTCAGCAGTTAGATTACAGAGATGAATCTGGAGAGGGGATGAAAGAGGTGGTTACCCTTCTTGGGTGATAGCGAGCCAGGCCCCTCCTAGGATGTAATTTCTGTTTTCATCTTTGTTCAGTCCTGTAGCCTGGAAAGGTAGATGGCCTGTGCTACTGAAAAGGGAAGGTGAGGTAACATGCCCCAGGTACACAGGCTGTGTCAGAGCAGGATGCCAGCTCGATGGTCCTAGCACAAAGCTTGTGCGTCCTGTTGCGTTGTGTGCTCCCGTCCTCTCTCCTAGCCCACACGTAGGCATTGACATCACGTCAGGGTTTTTACTTTTGTAAGCGTCACTGTTTGGATCCTTTATGTTTGCAGGTGTTTCTGTATTTCAGAATGTGTCATTTGAGGAACCGTCCAGGGCGCAGCCCGTGTCTCTAAGGGCAGTGTGTACTGATGCTCACTGTGCAGTGGTGGGGTGTATCCTTGTTTCTCCAGTGTGCACAGCCCAGGAATCAAGTTGTGGCTCCTTTGACAGAGACCTTCTCTCTTAAGTTCCAGCATGCTCCCAGAGGGCTGCATCGTCTCTTCTTCCACCCATCCTCCCTCCATAGGGTCTGCATGGGCAGGGCACCCAGGTCCCTGGTTGTCGTGCCGTGTCAGCGTACACAGCCCAGCCGACAAGATTGTGTCCAGAAACAATAAGTGGCTCATCCCTTCAGTTCACTTCAAGGCAGACATTTCATTTGAAATTGTGCTTCATGTAATAACTAACCTGCTTTGATTTAATTTCCTGAAAGCTTTCAAACACATAATAGTAATCACTGGTAGAATCCATAGTAGAGAGTGTAGTGTGGGAGGTTTTGAGGACTTAGTCACAAGCCAGTTCCTGGGTCTGCATGTGCTTTGAGTTTATTTCTTGAGGCATTTTTAAAAATTTGTTTGATTTTGATTTCTGCAAAAACAGGGCAAGCACCAGACTATTCTTTGCGTGTTGCACTGCATAGTGAGCCTGCAGACAGTTCCCGTGGACGTGGAGGAAGCCGTCCTTGCCCACGCCATTAAAGCTTTCACTAAGGTGGGTGGCAGTCTTCCTTCCCCTTGACACCACAGCAGCATGATCTCTGTAAGTTAGAATCCAGAGGTCAGCAGCCTCCTCTAAAATAAAACTGTTAACAGTGTTTCCTCTTAATGGAAATGTTTGACATTTCTTGAAAATTGTTGCAGACATTTGGTAAAAAAAAAATATCAGTTTCCAAACAGTGATGTTAGAGAAAGCTGACCTGTGCGGTTTTTTTAAGGAGCACATTGGAACAAAGAGCTTTTATAAAGAGGGAAACAATTGGGTATTGAGAAAGTACTTTTACATGATGTGCTAGTAGGAGACTCTTGTTGTTGAGCCAGTTAGTTCTACCTTGGATCTAAACAAGAACTCATCCAGTGAGAATTCAGCTTCCAACACTGACGATTCAGTAGCATGTCCTGGTTGGCAAATCCTAAGCACACAGTACAAAACATTTCCTTTGCACATCCTTCTGGCTTACAGCAATCTTTCCTGGCTGAAGAAAAGAGCCGGGTTCCTGCCAAGTAAAAGGTTCCCCTCACACATTCAGCTAATTGGTTGGTACCTCTCACTTATGATACGAAAATGTCATTAAACAAAGAACCCAGCTTTTCAGTGACGGTGTCTGTGGCATGCATTGGTGATGATAGCAGTTACTATCTGTGCTCATTCACCAGTCTCCCCTTCACTCTTTCCAGCGTGATATTTTTCTGGCAGGTTTTTTTCTTGTTCTTTCTTGTTCCTCATCTGGAGCTCCATGGCACCAAGTTTTCTGAGTCAACAGCACAAACCTCAATCATGTGATCCTTTACATCTATATCTTATTACGTTTTCAAAGACTTTCATAGACCAAGAGGCTACTTGCCGTATGGGGAAGGTTCTGGTTTGGTGTTTAACAAAATAACAGCTGAAACTGTTAGTAAGAAGTTTCTGCAAATAGGGTAGACAATATTTAACTGGGGGAAAAAAATCCTTAATATTGGTCTCTCCTAAAGTGGTGAGAATTCTTTACAACTCCTTTGGCCTTTTAGGAGGATACAGTTGTTCCTGATCTGTCTGTAAAACATCAGGAGACAGTTCCTGGGTCTCTCCCCTTGTGCACAGCCATGTGAGCAGAGTCCATGACAGCCCTTGTGCTGGACTCTGAGGACGTCTGTGTGGCGTCTGCTTCCCATGTAGTGAAGGTCATGTGTCCTTTCAGGCCAGAGCTCGGCAGGCTACTGCAGCCCCACCTTGGGGTCCTCAGCTCTGGTGCAGATTGCCCTGCTTGTGAGCATCACCCCTGTGTGACTCAGAGGGCAAGGGGACCCACATGTGATTATGTTATTCAAGTTATAAGGTTGTCTCTGACCCAGTGTCCCCAAACTGGCAGATGAACGTGTTAGCATGTGAGCATAGTGAAATCACAGACCTTCCCAGCCCTTCACAAGGGGAGAGCCTGCCCCCCGTCCACTGGCAGGATCTAGACCTGTCACAGGAGTCACACATTTATTTCGGGGTGGAGTGGAGGCGTGCTGATTGCTCTGGCTCCTCATCCTGCGTCACTCCTAACCCTGTAGCACCATGAACTTGGGCAGACAGTTCACATGTGTATACATGGTGCCTTCCCACCAAGGGGAAAGGAAACCACTACATAGGTTTTCATATGTGTCACACATGTTAGGCTCTCATATTTAGTACTCACAGAAACCCTCTTCTCACGGAAAGGTCAGGGATGACCCGAGGCTCCGTGGTTGGCAGGTGGGGGAGCCAGTCTGCTGGCCCGGCCACCCCAGTGCAGCACTGGCAGCTGGTGCACGAGACCCTTCCTTGGTAGTATCAGGGATCAGTCTCTGGGTCCAGACTCCCTGCACTCACAGTCGACTTGCTTCCCAGCAGTGTATGAGAACACCGCATATCCAGGCACCAGACTTAAGTCTTTAGGTTTTCATTGATAAGTTTGGCATTGATGTTATTGGCAATTCTAATACTTTTTTTAAATTAATGTGTGAACTTTTAAATTTATATATTATTTTGCTTATAAGTATTAGTTTTTTCCTACCCATTTCTTTTCTCCCAACTTAGACTGGTTAAAATTATTATTACAGTCTCCTGAATATAAATTTTCTTTGTCACCAGGTTAATTTTGATTCTGAAAATGGACCAATTGTTTACAGCACCCTAAGGAAAATATTTAAGCACATACTTGAAGAAAAAAGAAAAATGATGAAAGACAACCCAAAGATTAGTGTTTAGTGCCTCTGACTTTCCCTTCATGGCTAATATTTCAGACCAGAAGGTCCAGGCGACATTTCTGTTCATAGGTGAACAGGTTCCAGTGTGGAGGCGGTGTCTCCCAGCGCCTCATGTCAGTGCTCTTGCTTTGTGCTAAGAATGGCCGCTTCTGTGTGGAGCACTTGTTTATTTTAAAATGTGTTGAGCTACATTTTTGTGTTAAAAATTTGCCATAAAGTTGGTGCCACTTTTATTTATTTAACTGAATTAATATTGTTGTATTAATATTTTAAGTCTGTAGTATTTACATCCTTATTTATTATTATTTTTTTTGACATTTTGGAAAAAGTTGTAACTCATCTTTCCAAAACAATTATCTTGTTGATGGAACTCTTTCTACAGTTTTTACCAAATAGACATCAGTAGTCACACCGCACTGTGTATCCATCCCTGCTGCATGATGTGAGGAAGTCACCAAGTGTCTTAAACCAAGTGTTTTATATTTCTTAATAAGAAGGCTATTGATACAACATTTTTAAAGGATTTTTTAAATTGCTGAGATTTTTTGTTTTTTCTTTTTATAAGTGTGGCAAAGGGTTTCAAAGTGTATTATTTTTCAGAGTAGTTTAGTTTTCCATTCGAGGAATGACTGAGATGGTTGGGATTTTTTACTTGTAGAAAGTAGACTTGCTCAGGCTTCTACACAGTGTCGCCAACCTCTGCTGTCGCCAGATGGCAGGAGTGGTTCTCACATGTCAAGCCTTTTCCCATCCCCTGGGCTGCTGTGCCAAGTAGCATCTTTACAGAGAAGTTGGGGTCAGTGGCAGACACTGCGGGAAGCCGCTCTAAGTGGGACTCCACTGGAAGGCCGGTCTCGGTCTCGTGTGGGCTCTGCAGCCCTGCTCTCTGGGGCTGTAGCCGCTCCCAGAGCCGCGTCTGATGGCGGCTGGTGTGAGAGCTGGCCCACCCCTCCCAGGCTACCATTCTGTAGACCCAGTTGCCTTTAACTGCCTTCGGACTAGGATAAGTACGATTTTTTATTGAATTTTACCCACTTAGGTTGCAGTCACCCTGCTGGCTGTAGATAAGATACAACCACCAACTACTTCCTTGTAGAACGAAACTATAGTCAGCTATTGAAGCCATAACCAATGTTCAAATAAACTGTTGGGGTATCATAAGCCAAGCCAGAGAAGATCAAAGTTTTTCCTGATAAAGGTGATATTAAACCCATTTCAAACTAAAGAAGTTACTACTTAATCATAAAGACAGAATATCAGGAAAAGCTAATTTGCAACAAATGAAATTTCTCCAACTTCTGCTTTTGTGAATCAAGCACATTAAAAACATTTTAGTCATTATCGGTCTTACTGACTCTGGTGGCAAACACTAAATGCCATTTCTCCCACGCTGTTGAGGTCTCTCAGGAAATCAGATCCATTAAAGTTTAATGAGCTGGGTTGCTCATTCCTGACATTTCTTGTTTTCAAGTGCCTGATCTGGGAAAGTAGGGGAGAAAACAATTATATTTTATACAAAGTAAGTTATAAAAATGTTTTTTACCCAAAAAGATGTCTGTTCTCTTCTTGGTCGGTCTCATGTGGCCAAGTGGCACCACGGCTCATTTGTGAGGAATATGGGCCGTGAGTCTGAAATAATTGTCACAAAATTAAAGGACAGATCCTACACACCCACGATGTGACCCTGGCCCTACGCAGCTAAAATCTGAGTGCACTAGCTTGGAAAGGAGAGGAGGTGGGGGAGTTAATCAGGCTGTGTACAATTGAACTTATTTGAATAAAAGTGAAAGCAACAATCCAAACCCTCGTCTTGTACTTCTTTATCTTGAGAGTCATACACATCCTGATGATAAAGGTGCAGTTGTGGTTAGTTTATCCTACAGAGAAAACTAAGTTGTCGGCTGACTAGTCAGCTAGCAAAGCTCTCTTCAGTCCCCAGTCTGTTGGTTCAGAATGACCCAAGAGGTCAGGGGATCAGGATTGGAGAATTCTAAGAGGAATGGGTGAGGAAAATCTAAAGGCTGAAGAGATTGCTGACTTTCTATATGAATGGATGAGAAGTTTTTTCTTGCCCAGAGAATAGAAATCTACCTATAGATAGAAGTTACAGGGTTACAGAATTCAGCTCAACGAAAGTGGGAAGGACCAAGAGCACACACACATTCAGAAGTGACTACCCCAGGAGCTCAGGCATTGTCTTGCTTATTTCTCTTACTGGACCAAGAGAGAATGTTACTCATACTTGCCCGAGGCAGGAATCCCAGTCTGACTGACTGAGCCATGCTCTTCTCCCTTGTGAAGCCACCTGCCCATGGAGCTCCTAGCCAGGTAGAGCTGCCCAGCAGGAAGGGCCCATACGGGGCCTCGAGGCCCTCTTAGCGTTAGTCTCTATTATGGTGTCATAGAGCATCATCTTGTCCATAAGGGCAGTGAAATACCCCACATTTTTGGTCCCCTGGAAAAGGCTAAACTGGGTGTGTTACCCTCAGAGGACCTCCAGCATATCACACTTAGAAAGTGCATGATTTCTGCCAGTTTTGGTTTTTTCTATTTTGTAGCATTTGCTGATGCTCTTTGAGATGAAGTAATGCTTTGTGTATTTGCATAACTCAAAAGTACTGTGCTGATCGACTTAGTCATATCTTTAGCCAGCTTCCCAGTATTATCTGACAAAGAGTATGTGCCTTCATCAGTCTGGACTCCATGAAAACAGCCATATGTCATACTCCAATAGAGATAAAGTTCTATCATCTCTTAAATGGAGAAGCTTACTCCTACGCCTGGGTGCTATTTCAGGCTATTCTCTGAAAAGAGTTCCAGAAACTGTGTTATAGACAGAGTGCATGCCTCAGATTCTTGATATTCGAAGGCCCCCAAATAATTTTGGGGCTCAGTTAAAAGAGACAGTTTACTCATAGGATCTTTGTTGTTCCAAATTAGTAAGCACTGATATATTTTCAGTGCAAGTAAATCAAGAACAATATTCCCTTTGGTGCTATTTACTTTTGTAAATGTGGCCCAGGATTAGCATCTTATTTTAAGGAGTCTTCTCGATGTTAGATGGTTGATCATTGTGTACAGATAAAATGGCAGGACGAAAGTGCCACAAATCCTATTATGTAATGGTGCATTATTTTTTAGTCATGTTTTTAGGCATGAGCTGATCTTTAATTAGCTGACACAACAAAACTGATTTATAAGTAATCACAATGGGGCCATTCACTAGGGGAGCTGTGGTGAACCTTCGTTCCAAGCCAGCCAATAAAACATGCAGTCACTGAAAATAATGTCGCAAGAAGACTTGAATATCATAAGCCCTTTTGCATTGAAAATAAAAGTTTCAGCCCTGGCCAGCGTGGCTTAGTGGGTTGGGCGTCGTCCCATGCACCAAAATGTTGCCAGTTCAGTTCCAGTCAGGGCACATGCCTAGGTTGCAGGGTCAATTCCCAGTTGGGGAGGCGGGTGCAGGAGGCAGCCGATTCATGTTTCACTCTCACATCAGTGTTGCTCTACCTCTCCCTTCCTCTCTCTGGAAAACATCAATAAACAAATCTTTAAAAAAAAATTTTATGTATCTACTGCAACTTATATCACAACAGAAGGCTGTTATGCCCTTGCTGCCTAGCATTCTTGATTATGATGACAAAATGTTTTACGATTGCCTATTTGGAGAAGGTTATTTTTTGGAAAAGGTTCCTACTTACATGACCATTTGAACACAGTCTGCAAACACTCCTCGGTTGTGTTTTAGTGCATTGCTTTGTCATTTTCTTCTCTTAAAAAATAAAGATGTAGCCCTGGCCAGTTTGGCTTAGTGGTTAGAGCGTCAGCCCATGGACCAATGAGTCACGGGTTCAATTCCGGTCAAGGGCACATACCTTGGTTGAGGTTCCAGGCCAGGGACATGCAGGAGGCAACCAGTCGATGTGTCTCTCAAATTGATATTTCTCTCTTACCCCCTCACCTCCCCCCCATCTGAAGATAAATACAAAAATACCACCCTGGCCAGTTTGGTTCAGCGGTTGGAGCGTTGGCCTGCAGTCCAGAGAGACCAGGGTTCGGTTCCTGCTAAGGGCACGTACCACGGTTGTAGTTTGTCCCCGGCCCTGGTTGGTCGTGCAGGTGGCAGCCACTCGATGTGTCCCTTTCATGTCGATGTTTCTCTCTCCCTCTCTCTCCCTCTCTCTCCCTCCCACTCTATCTGAACAAAAAATAAAAAATGTCCTTGGGTGAGGATAAAAAAAAAAAATTGACAGCAGCCAACACAATAGCCATCCGGTGTGAATGAATCAAAATTATACCTATTTCTTTTGTCAGATCAGCAAAAAAATCTATTTTTTTTTTTTGGTGTGCAGCAGAATTTTAGTAACTGGTTCATTTGTGCCATGAACTGAAAAAGGAGGAAAATCGCTGCCTGAAGGACTGATGGAAGGTGTTTGTCTCTGTTTCACCTAACTTGTAACTCTCTTAGATGGGAAAGTCATGAGCAATCCTTGAGAACACTGTAAGGCAAACACATCATCTGCAGCTGCCTGGGCACAGTTGAGGCAAAAAGAGAGGGCTGAGAGCCTGAGAGGAAAATCTAGGGAGCGTTCATTTGGAAAAACAGTACATTCAAAAGTGCCAGTGTATACTAGGGAATTTAGAAAGCTATTATACACGCCTGGGCATGATGCATGTTCAGAAAAACCCGAGAAGACCCTGTTTTGTTTTGTTTTTTTATCCTCACTCGAGGACATTTTTCCATTTTTTGTTCAGATAGAGTGAGAGGGAGAGAGAGAGAGAAACAGCGACATGAAAGGGACACATCGAGTGGCTGCATCCCACACGACCCAACCAGGACTGGGGACAAATTGCAATGGAGATACGTGCCCTTAGCAGGAACTGAACCCGGGTCTCTCTGGACTGCAGGCCGACGCTGTAACTCCTGAGCCAAATCGGCCAGGGCAAGAAGACCCTGGTTTTTACCTCCAGCTGACCTCTTGGCTCAATGAAGCAAGAAATGAAGACTTGGGCAGAGTAGTAAATAGCCTGGCTAGGTGTTAAAGGGGAAGTACAGAGCTCAGAGCCAATCTACAAAGGCTGGGGTTTCAATCTCTCTCTCTCTCTCTCTCTACCTACCTACTTATCTATATGTTGTATATGTTTCTATTCCTCTCTCTCTCTCTCTCTCTCTCTCTCTCTCTCTCTCTCTCCCACCCCTCTC